GTTGATGACAACAAGCTCGTAGCAACTTGTTACGAACAGCCTGTATTAGTCTTGTTGGAACAACTTGTAGCAAGTCTGTTACCGTCATCAACCTTGTAACAAGATGATAATAACTTGTTCCAGACTTGTCACAACAACTGGGAACAAGCAGTGCGAACACAACTTGTTGATTTTTACATGTGTAACGCAGACAAACCCTACCAACAAGTCTGAGATCGTCTGCACGTAATGTACACACGTAAAAATCTCACAACTTGTCAACAAGATGTGTTCGCAACAGGTTTGTAGCAAGCTTGTCAACAAGTTGTAACAATGCTGTTATTTTATCAAGTTGCTACAAGCTTGTCACTCACAACTTGTTGACAAATTGTTGAATTGCAGGACGATAACAAGTTGTTGGAACAACTTGCAACAAGTCTGTTGAGCTCAACAACCTCGTAGCAAGTTGTTAACAAGCCGTTGACAACTTGTCGATAAGCTGGGAACAAGCAGTGCGAACACATCCTGTTGACAAGTTGTTGGAGCAGCATTGCTACAAGTCTGCTGCAAGTTTGTTACAACTTGTGCGTTTTTACGCGTGTAGCCGACTTTAAGTGAATGCCGGATATATGTGAAGTAATAGAAATTATTTACCTAAGTCCTTGCCCTTCCAAATCGACGATATCTGTCAAATGCCCAACCAGATGCCTAGACAGTATATATATATATATATACATGTTAAATTCCGTTCGATTATTTCGCGAATTATAAATGCTAATGCCGATATCAGGATGTATTCGTACTGCTTGTTCCCAGTTGTTGTGACAAGTCTGGAACAAGTTGTTATCACCTTGTTACAAGGTTGATGACGGTAACAGACTTGCTACAAGTTGTTCCAACAAGACTAATACAGGCTGTTCGTAACAAGTTGCTACGAGCTTGTTGTCATCAACTTGTTAACAACTTGTTACGTGCAGACGATATCAGACTTGTTGGAACAACTTGTTGCGAGTCTGTTGGCCTCGTCAACCTTGTTACAAGATGATAACAACTTGTTCCAGACTTGTCAACAACTGGGAACAAGCAGTGCGAACACGTCTTGTTGATAAGCTGTGATATTGTTACGGCTGTAGTACTAACAATTTGGTTGCAGGCAAAAAAAAAGCGAAACACTCACTCGCCATTTTGGCTTTGGTTGTGATGTTGTCCTTCCAAATTTTCGTCGCCTTCACTTTGACAATGCACTCCCAAATTTAATGCTAAAAGAAGCACCGGATACAATAAAACCATTTTAAACTATTTGTATTCTTTGTAATATTGTCGGAAGCCCTACAGCATTCATGGGCGATCAGCCAAGTATAAAATCATCTTTTCATCTGGCTATTTTATAAACAAGAAGAAATTTGCATAAAATTTAAATTTTCATATTGTCTTTTCAAAAGGATTCGTAGTCCAAATTGACGTGGCCGAATTAATTCTTAAATGCTTTCCTAAACTTTTGTGGTTACTAAGCTGCTGTTTTAAAACTGTTTTATTGAATAAACAACATATAGGAAGCTAAATTTTACACGTAAACAGTCTAAACAAGGCTTTTCGTTTTGCTCGTTTCGACCGGTTTGATTTTGAATTCAAAATTTGGACTATTTGGGAACGGCGAACAAACACAAAATAACTCCTGTCTTGTTCTGTTTTTCGGGCTATTTTGTTAAGGAAACAGAGAATTTGTAAAAAAGTACAACAAAACAGATAAAAATACGAAAATATTCTGAGAAATTGGAATATTTTTGCCACAATTCAAAACTCCCGCGTTTTGGCGCCATTTTGAAAAGATTTAAATTTAAAGGGAACTGGCAACATGGCGGTCGAAGGGTGAATTTTGAGCAGAACTTTTTGCAATTTCTTTTTATTTTTACGGCGTATCTCGTGTGCTTTCGGATGGCTTGAATCTACAGACTTAAAGGCAAACTTTCAATGTACTATTTGAGAAGTACCTAGGCGTTTTGGGTGGCTAATTTTGAAAATAATCGCGTATCAAAATGGCCATGAACCACTTTGAAGTTTCTACTACTGTCGAAGCAGACAAGCAGATAGTTTTGAATTGTAGACATGGAGAAGCGGTCAGACATGCTCTCGTTTTACTAGAAGGAGAAATAAAGCCTTTTACAAATGAAATTTCTTGTGAAGGCTCCACAAACGAAATTAATCTTGGACCAACACAAGAAGACACCACTTTGAAGGTTCAAAATTTGTCAAATTCCAAAGCAACCGAGGCGTTTATTTATCACAAAGGACAGTGTCATCGTTGGCCTGTGGTCAAAAATAGGTTCAAAGCGTTTGTAAAGTTGGATAAAGGGACGAATTTGCTAAAAGTCCAGTGTCATGAATTAAATTTGGAAAAGGAATTGAGCATTTCTTATGAAAAACAAGAAAGTCAACAGAGGTATATTAAAAATCAGAAATGTATCCTAGTCCAGGACTATAGACTCGTATGGAGAATCAGAGAAATGTATAAGACGTGAACTGGGCTTTTCACCGTGGGGTTCGGAAATTTACAGTGGCGTAACGCTCGTTGGGTAGGGTTAGTTCAAAAACTAAGCGCCCCCGACAGTTAAGGGCGCCCATCAGCCATGGCCTATTGCCCAGAAAATTAGAATATGTAAGAAAATGCAGGTTAAGAATCAATGGGAAAATGCAAAATTAATAATTAGCAATTAGTTGCCGAAGGCGAGGGAATTATCGGTGAATAAAAACCGAGACAAAGTCGAGGTTTTTATTCACGATAATCACCGAGCTGCCATTTCGTACAGTAAATATTGGAATTTTTTATACGTTTCTAAAGGAGCAAACAAACTTAAAAAGTATGTTTAGTGCTTTATCTGTAAAATTATGCTAAAATGAAGAGATTTTAGAAAGAAGAGAAAATGATGTCTGAAGTTCAGTAAGTTTTGCTTATATTGCTGTATAAATATGGCGTCAATTTTGCAGCATCAATGATAATTGTATTTAAATTGACAATATTTAACTATTATTTTGTGTTTCTCAACCGCCAGATACATTTAAAAAGGTTGCTGACTGTGTCAACTACAAAATAAAGCTAAAACAAAGTAATCTTGAGAGGAACGCCAAAACGATTTTCGGTTTGAACATTTTTCATCACAATTACTATTAATATTATTTTTTTATTAATACCCAATTTTTTATATTTGTAAGGTATGTTCGAGTTGTCTATATTAAATGTTCTGAAAGTGATGGCTCATTTGACGCTCCTGACGATGTAAACAACAGCCTAGATATGGCGTTAGAAAAACTTCGCTTCAATGTGCTGCTTCTGCAGACGTTCATGGCAGAAGAGATGAATAAACATGGATTTGGTTATCAAACTTTTGAACTGGAACAGAATGAGAATGGTGAAATATTAGCTCATGTTTTTACAAGTGAACTGACTACTGAGAAAGCACATGAAATGAATGGTGATCAACTGTATAGTTGGTTTCACAAAGGTATCATTAATATTTAATGAGGAAAATCTTGCAGAGCAATCAATAGGTCAATTAAAGTTACTTTAGTTTAGGCTTCCTCCTGTAGTAACACTGGATCAATAAGAGATCATCCTTACTGGACCTCTAGGAAGAACAGTTTAGAACTGATAGAACTATCCAGTATAAATAAAGTTAGTTTAGTTTAGGTTTCCTCCTGTAGTAATACTGGATCAAAAAGAGATGATCCTTACTGGACCTCTAGGAAGAACAGTTTAGAACTGATAGAACTATCCAGTATAAATAAAGTTAGTTTAGTTTAGGTTTCCTCCTGTAGTAACACTGGATCAATAAGAGATGATCCTTACTGGACCTCTAGGGAGAACAGTTTAGAACTTATAGACCTATCCAGTACAAATAAACTTAGTTTAGGTTTCCTCTTGTAGTAACACTGGATCAATAAGAGATGATCCTTGCTGGACCTCTAGGAAGAACAGTTTAGAACTGATAGAGCTATCCAGTATAAATAAATTTAGTTCAGGTTTCTTCCTGTAGTAACACTGGATCAATAAGAGATGATCCTTACTGGACCTCTAGGGAGAACAGTTTAGAACTGATAGAGCTATCCAGTATAAATAAAGTTAGTTTAGTTAAGGTTTCCTCCTGTAGTAACACTGGATCAATAAGAGATGATCCTTAGTGGACCTCTAGGGAGAACAGTTTAGAACTGTTAGAGCAGAAGTATCCAGTATAAATAAAGTTTAGTTTAGTTTAGGTTTCCTCCTGTAGTAACACTGGATCAATAAGAGATGATCCTTACTGGACCTCTAGGGAGAACAGTTTAGAACTTATAGACCTATCCAGTACAAATAAACTTAGTTTAGGTTTCCTCTTGTAGTAACACTGGATCAATAAGAGATGATCCTTACTGGACCTTTAGGAAGAACAGTTTAGAACTAATAGAGCTATCCAGTTTAAATAAACTTAGTTTATTGTCTCATTTGCATTTCAGAGTTAACAAGTTCTTCATTAAACGACAAAAACTGCAAATTTTTGGCGTTCATGTCTTGTTCTCATTACGACCCTCCGGACGAAATCAATCCCAAAGACATTCCACGCTATGTGAAGGCACACACTGCCTTGGGAGGCGGGCAACTTGGCTTGTTTGGCACAGCAGGTTTGCACACCTGGGCTGGAGAGGTGGGGGAGTTGGTGAAATGTTTCACTGACAGCAAGGAAATTGACAAGAAGAGATTATTCGATGATAGCGCTGGAAGGTATATAATAAACCAATTTGAGAGTCTCGACTATGTATCGAAATGACGGGTTTTTGTGTCGCGATAAATTGCAGTTGAAGTATGACATGTAACTGAGAATGAAAGTATTAAGCCTTTCAACTCTTTTTTCAAATGGCAAAACTCCCTTTTCAAATGGCAGAACTCCCTTTTCAAATAGCAAAACTCCCTTTTCAAATAGCAGAACTCCCTTTTCAAATAGCAGAACTCCCTTTTCAAATAGCAGAACTCCCTTTTCAAATGGTAGAACTCCCTTTTCAAATAGCAGAACTCCCTTTTCAAATAGCAGAACTCCGTTTTGAAATAGCAGAACTCCGTTTTGAAATAGCAGAACTCCGTTTTGAAATAGCAGAACTCCTTTTCAAATGGCAGAACTCCCTTTTCAAATGGCAGAACTCCCTTTTCAAAGAGAAAAACTTCCTTTTCAAATAGCAGGACTCCCTTTTCAAATAGCAAAACTCCTTTTTCAAATAGCAAAACTCCATTTTCAAGTAGCAAAACTTCCTTTTCAAATAGCAAAACACCCTTTTCGAAGAGCAAAACTCCCTTTTCAAATAGCAAAACTCCCTTTTCAAATAGCAGAACTCCCTTTTCAAATAGCAAAACTCTCTTTTCAAATAGCAAAACTCTCTTTTCAAGTAGCAAAACTTCCTTTTCAAATAGCAAAACACCCTTTTC